TCCGAACACACAGGAGAGGCAGCAGCCCCCGTCTGCTGCAGCAGCTGCAGCAGACGGTGTTGTTTCTCCTTCAGCAGCAGCGCCAACTTCTGCTGCTGCTGCTGCAGCTGCTGCAGCGCCTGCTGCTGCTGCTACTGCTGCTGATGCTGCTGATGCTGCTGCTGCTGCTGCTGCTGCTGCAGTAGCTGGAGACAAATGCTTGGGCCTATACCCCCCAGGAGCAGCAGCAAGAAGAGCAGCAGCTGCTGCTGCTGCACGCCACGATGAGACTCCTGAAGCTCGCTGCATGCGCCCAGCAGCAGCAGCAGCAGCAGCAGAAGCAGGAGCAGCAACAGAAGAAGCAGCAATAGAAGCGGCACCAACAGCAGCAGCAGCAGCAGCAGCAGCAGCGCTTCCTGCCAGCTTCGCCTCAGCAGCTCCAGACTCTGCAACAGCAGCAGAAAGTGCCGCAAGTGCAGCAGCAGCAGCAGCAGCAGCAGCAGCAGCAGCTGAGGCAGCAGCGGCAGATGCAGCGGCAGCAGCTGATGCAGCAGCAGCAGCTGATGCAGCAGCAGCAGCAGCAGCATCGGATGGTGGTGCAGAAGCAGCAGCAGGTGTAGTAGAAGGAGCAGCAGCAGCAGCAGCAGCAGCGAACACACAGGAGGCGAATCCCCCAGCAGCAGCAGCAGCAGCAACCGCAACAGCAGCAGCAGCAGCAGCAGGCGCTGCTGCTGCTGCTGCTGACGATAACGATGATGAAGCCGTAGAAGTGATTGAGCTGGATAGTAGTGACGTGAGAAACCCTAAACCCTAAACCCTAAACCCTAAACCCTAGATGTAGTATAAGGGTTGTCTTGTTGAGCAGATAGCTGTGGAGATAAAGCTTCAAGGGTTTAGGGTTTAGGGTTTAGGGTTTAGGGTTTAGGGTTTGGGTGCAGGAGGACTGGGTGGAGCGGTGGCAGCGGCCGCGTCGTCGAGCAGCAGCAGCAGCAGCAGCACTAGCAGCATATGTAACAGCAGAAGATGCAGCAGCAGAAGCTGCTGCTGCTGCTGCTGCTGCTCCTTTCTTGCCTCCTCCTTCTCTCTTGAGAAACAGAGACAGAGCAGCAGCAGCAGCAGCAGCGCCTGCTGTTGCTGCAGCAGCAGCAGCAGCAACAGACATGCTGTGCATCAGCAACAGCAACAACAGCAGCAGCAACAGCAGCAGCAGCAGCAGCAGCAACAGCAGCAGCAGCAGCAGCAGCAACAGCAGC